TTACTATTTTACTATCTCCAGGTGTTGCACTAACACTGCCATTCAGCAGGTTGGGTAAGGGTCCTCTTCGATGTTGTTAACATTGGCCATCGGATGACTATCTTGATTACTCCATGTGAATTCTATGGCCTAGAAAACTTCTGAAAGTTGGCGCAATTTAGATAGAACTTTCGAACATTACCTCTATTGGCTAACGTTTTAAGAGTCATACTCACGCACATTTAGACTCACGCACATTTAGACTCACGCACATTTAGACTCACGCTCAGACCACGTTCAAACTGGATTAGGTCATGTTAGGTTGTGGTGGTTGTCTAAGCTCCTTTTGGTCACCAAACAGGCTCTTTTTAATATTATTGAGCACCCTAATGGCCACCACCCAGTAGTCAAATCGATGCTTGTAGTTTAGGTTTTCAAGGTTTTTTCGACCAAAATTTGTAAATTTTCTCTCAATGCCTCTGTCACCAATACCAACGAGCGTGTTTCCGATTTGAAAAGTGTTAGTTTTACCAAAAAAAAGGTAAGCATAAAAAAATTTAAATTCATCGTTCCCCAATAGAGCAGGTCTACATCACTGAGGGTACTTCAACGTGAGAAATAAAAGCTTTAAAAAAAACTTAAATAAAAATTAAATAAAAAAATTCAAATATTTTATAAATAAATTTCACATAACTAACAGTAATTTTAATAAAACACAAAATTTTTATTATATAAAATATTTAAGGCAGTAGAATTCCATTTTTAAATAAAACCCAAAATGTAGCTTCGTTCTTTTCATTTTTATTTTTATGTTTTTATTTTTATATGATAACTTTCCATTTTTATTTGTAACCAGTTAAAATTTTTTTGACAATTGTTTGTTTTGGTTTTTGTTGTTGTTTTTTTTGTTTTTTTTTTTGTTTTGTGTGTAAGTAGCTGCGCTGTGTTGCTTCTCTCCCGTCAAATGCTCATCTACACCACCACATGAACGTCGTAGAAATGTATATATAATATGTATGTAGATTGAAATGTGTGTGCTTTGTTTATATTTTTTGTTAGTTTTATGTTGTTTAATGTTTTTGTTTTTGTTTATGTTTTTTGTTAATTTTTTTTTTGTGTTTTGCTTCTCAATTTTTGCCACATTCTTCTTTCACTTACTTAAACTAGCAATGCGAAATGCTGCTAAAATAACTATGTATGTATGTTTGTTCATTTTGAAATATTTATATAATAATGTATGTATGTTTGTTTTAACTGTTTTTGCAAATAAAACCAAATTTGTATACACTTTATATATATATATATTTATATATATTTACATTTATAAATATTGATTTATATTTTTTATAATTATAGTTTAGATATATGTATGTATAATACATGTATGCAAGTGTGTTTTTATTTTTATCATTTTTTTTCTATATATTGACTAGTTAGATTTGTTTTTATTACTTTATAAGTTTTTATATATGTAAATATTATATATATTTTCAATAATTAGTGTTTTTATTAGTAGTAAAATGTTAATGTTTTGCGCTAAGTAATGTGTGTATGTATGTGTATGTGTATGTGTATATATATAAGTATAGTAGATTTCCAATACTAATTTTAAATAATTAGTATTTATATAGTTGTTTTTGTTTTTTTTCAAATAATTGTTATAATAATTGCACATTTATATAGGTATTTATGTAGGTATGTATATATAATTGTTCTCGTAAAGGATTTGTAATAATTTGCTTACACTCACATATGTAGGTACACACTTTTGTAAGTGTCTATGTGTATATATATATATTTTGAAGAAATACTAATTTTATCTGTTAAAAAAAAAGTTAAAAAGAAATTCAAATAAAAATTGTTTAAAAAACATTAGACATCGAGCTGAGCTGTTTTTCACATTTTCATTGATGGTGTAAATTAGAAAACAAAACAAGATTTGATATTCTTTAAGTTTCAGCTTTTCTTAAAGTCCATACAGTTTTATAGCGTTGGAAAGCGCTTATTTCTTGTACATATGTATATATGTATATATAAGAGTTTAGTTCTTTTTTCATAATTTTTTTTTATTTTTTAAAATCGCACACGCAAACAACTAATTATTTAATAGCAATTTTTATAATTAGTTAATTATATCTTTAGCAATAAATTTTTGCTATATAAAATATTTTTTTTCGCAAATAAAAATATTTTTTTGTTTGCATTTCCATTTGCAAATAAAAATTTATATTTATCATACTCAATTTTAAAATTTTAATTTAATAGTTTTCTCCGGGGGCCAATTTTTGCTATTTCATCTTTGGTACAACATAAACATTTATAAATTTTTACTAGTCATTTTATTTAATACGTATATGTATTTAAGTTAATTTGTGTACATATTATATATATATATATATATATACTTTTTTGGTTGCTACTAATTTAATTCAATTTAATTTAATTTTTTTTTATATTTTTATTCTTCACAGACACACTAAACAAATATACTATATGTATAAATACATTCTTGTGTTAATATAATATACAGTTTAGATACACACTGATATATGCAGAGTAGTGATAAATGTGGTAGAATGTTTTCATAAAATAGTAGTTTTATTTTTTGAGGGAGGGGTAGGCCGTAGGCATAAAGTTTTTGGAATGGAATAAAATAAATTGGAAATTTTTAAACATAATTTTTTCATATTTAAGAATTACTAGAGTTTGAAAAACTAATTTTTTGAAATATTAAAAGCTGTCAAAAATTTTATTAAATTAAAATAAAAAAAATTATTTATTATTATAATTTTATCATATTTAAGAATTACTAGAGTATTAAAAAATAAATTTTTTGAAGTATTTAAAAATTTTTAAAATTTTATTAAATAAAAATAAAATAATTATTTTGGAAATTAAAAATCATAAAAAAAAATTATTAAGAAAAATGTTAAAGAAAAAAGAATTGAGAATGGAAAAAAATAAATTTGAAATTTTTAAATATTATTTTCTAATATTTAAGAATTACTAGAGTTTGAAAAATTAATTTTTTGAAATATTTAAAAATGTCAAAAATTTTATTAAAGAAAAATAAAATAATTATTTTGGAAGTTAAAAATTATAAAAAAGATTATTAAGAGAAATGTAAAAGAAAAAAAATTTTGAGAATGGAAACAAAATAAATTTGAAATTTTTAAATATTATTTTCTAATATTTAAGAATTACTAGAGTTTAAAAAATAATTTTTTGAAATATTTAAAAATGTCAAAAATTTTATTAAATAAAAATAAAATAATTATTTTGGAAATTAAAATTTATAAAAAAAAATTTAGAAGAAAAAAACAATTTGAGAATGGAAAAAAAATAAATTTGAAATTTTTAAATTTTATTTTTTAATATATAAGAATTACTAGGGTTTGAAAAATTAACTTTTTTAAGCAATGTTTTCCTTATAAATAAATATACCTAAATTGTAATGAAGAATATAAACTTACGATAAATACAAACGAAGTTTTAAGATTTTCGTGCATTAATAGGTATATTTATATATTAAAATATATATAATATTTGTTTAAAAAAATCGAATTAATAAAAAATATTAAAAATAGTAAAAAAGGGATGCTGAACATTATAAAAAATATTTAAATTTTTTTTTTTAAAATTTGCGAAATTATAACGTTCCAAAATTTTTTATCAAAACTTTTTTCAATAAAGAAATTCTTAAAAAATTTCTGAAATATGTAATATATATAAAAGTGAAAATCAAAAAATTTCGTACATTAATTTGTTAGAAATTCAAATAAATAAATGCAATATAAAAAAAGCTCAACGAATATATTTTGAACATTAAAACTAAATATATAAAACTTTTAAAAATGTTTTTTTTTTCATATTCAAACTACTTCAAAGTTTTATAAAATGTAATTTTTCAATAAATAAATTTTAAAAAGCATTATTGAAGAATTTATATTTTTTTAAATACACAAACGAAAAATTGCAATTTTCATGCATAAATATATATATACTTACTATGTATGTTTGAAAATAAAAAAAAATATTTTAAAGAAAAAAGAGTATGGATTTTAAAAAAAGTATTTATAAACTAATTATTAAATTAACTTAATTTAAACAAATGGTTAACCTCAAGCAATATTAAAGTTTATAAAATTAAATACTCAAATCATATTTTTTTAAATAAATTTTTATAAACTCTATATGTCTATAAAAGAAATTTCAAATTTTCATGCATAAATATTATACATACACTCGTTGATATGCATGCATATTAGAGACATTCCAGTTATAGTACTTTGAATTTTAAAGATTTTAAAAAGTTGTTAGTCAATTTTGGATTAATTTAGATGCAAAATAAAAAAAAAACGTATTTTTTTAACTTTCTTTTTAAATTATTTTGATTTCAATGTAAAGAAATTTTTATATTCAAATACAGACATACATAAATAAGATAAATTAAAAATTTTTTTTTTCAATAAATTTCATTGTAAAAATGTAAAGGAAATTATTTTTTTTAAATATTTGCGCTCTTTATTTTTGACATAAAGCAGATTTTTATATTCAAATAACAAAAATGTAAATTAATAAAAATTATGAAAAACGCATTAATAATAATAAAAATAAAAGTGATATGCTGGGAATAGAAATTTGAATTTTAAAAGTATTAAATTTTTCTAAAGCTTCTAAATACATGTTTAATAATTTCAATGTAAAAAGGTTGTATATATATTGTTTAGATATTTTTTTATTTTTGTTTTTTAATATTTATATTTTTAACACAAAGTAGTTTTTATTCAAAAGAAAAAAATTAAAAATAAACAAAACTAATAAATAAAACTAAATAAATGAATCAATCAATAACTAGATAAGTAATTTAAATTATTAATTGGTACATATATATATAACATAAAATAAGATTAAAATGTTATATACAAGCAGTAAACAAATTTGAATTATTTTTTTTTAATTTTTTTCAATTTATTATATATTTTCATAAATACATAATTAATTCTTTTTTTTAACGTTAATGTTTTAAAGACATATACATACATATTAGCAAGTTTAGAAGTTTCGATTATAACAATATTGCGCACATTTTTTTGTTTTTGTTTTTTCTTTCTGGGGGGTATGTAGGTATGTATTTTAAATAAATAGATTTTTTTTGTTTGTTTTAAACTTAAGCTCCATCGACATTCATTTGGGGTTTGCCATGCCTTTGCCAGTTTTTTTTTAATTTATAATATTTTAATTCCTTCGCTTTTGGTTAATTGCCAATTCTTTGCACGCAATTGTTCATTTTTAATTTTTTTTTTGATGATTTCAGTATTTAATTCTTAGCTTGCGCTTGTTGTTGTTGTTGGTATTGTTGTTGTTGTTGTTGTGCAGCAATTGCTGCCGGTTTTTCAGCATTAATGGTGTTTTGTGCGGTGGATTTCTGAAAGTAAAAGAGAAATGAGGGAATTTTATGATTAAAAAAATATTATTATTAATAAAATAAATTTTTTATATTTAAATAATTAAATAACAGTTAATTTTAAAAATTTCATTTTAATGAAATAATCGAATATACCACAAGGTTCTGGAACTGATAAATTTAAAGCATATAGATGACTTCTGAAAAAATATGATTTCTTCCTTTAAGGAAAAAAGTTATAAAAATATCTGAATGTTTTATAAACTTTTTGTTATGTATTTCATAATAAAAGGGTAGAGATATATTTAGGAGACTTATTAATTATTTTAAATATTTTATATATGTACGAGGTACAGAAATATTTATATTTCAATCCTTAAAAAAAGAGAAACAAATTATGAATAAATAATAACTCAATAAAAAATAAACTAATAATTAAAAAAAGATTAAAGCAGAAAAAAAGAACTATTATTTCCATATATGTATATAATATTTGCCATCTGTCAGCGAATTTAAGCCTGTGGCATTTTAAAATTTTTATTTATCAGGTGTACAACTTTGCTTCCGCCGTTTTTTTTCCAAAATTAAAAGCTTAATTGCGAAAAAGTGCTTACAGATATATTATTCAAAGTATTGCCCTTCACTAGCGACAACTTTCTCCCATCTTTCCAGCAAATTTCGGATCCTGGCTCGAAAAAAGGAGTCCTCTTTTGACGCTATCCATGAAGCAATCCATTTTTCCAATTCTTCGAAGGATTGAAATTGTTGAACTGCCAGACCGTGCGCCATCGAACGGAAGAGGGGGAAGTCAGAAGGGGCGACATCTGGGGAATACGGCGGGTGAGGTAAGACTTCCCATTTCAGCGTTTCTAGGTACTTTTTGACTACTTTTGCGACGTGAGGCCGAGTATTGTCGTGTTGGAGGATGACTTTGCCATGTCGCTCTTGATATTGTTGCCGCTTTTCTTTTAACGCGCGATTAAGGCGCATCAGTTGCGTTCGGTAGCGATCTCTTGTGATGGTTTCAACCGGTTTTAAGAGCTTCTTCATCAAGCAATGTTTCTAGTTGTTCATCTTTGAAGGTTTTTTCTCTTTCACCACCATGTTTGTCTTCGACATCGAAATCACCATTTTTAAAACGTCGAAACCACCTCCGACACGTTCTTTCACTCAGAGCAGATTCACCGTAAGTTTCTGAGAGCATTCGATGCGCTTCAGCTGCATTTTTTTTCGAATTGTAACAGAAAAGTAAAACTTCCCGCAAATGGCGAGAATTAGGCACATAAACGGACATTTTCGAGCGTGAATAATACGAAAAGAAGAACAACTGTCACTGAAACGGCGATGACAATTCGTTAGGCACAGTCCACACTCACTTTAAAGGCATTATCATCTATGTATTTCAACCAGACTCAGCCGGTACAGCCACCTATCGGAAAACGGCGGAAGCATAGTTGTACATCCAAGGTGTAATATACGACACCCAAGGCATATGGTTGACGAATTTTCCAGTTGGACTGAGCACTTACCTTCTGTGTTTCAGTATCACTGCTGGCGCTGCGTCCAAATCGTAAACGAAGTGACGCTGGTTTGCGGACTTCACGTTGGAATTCATCGTTATTGTGATTTAATGTCATACCATCAGCGGGTAGGGGCTCAGAGTCATATTGATGGAGTGCGAGCAACATGTTGTGTAGTTTTTCCGTTGTTAGCAGAGAATTGTAGAAATCGTCGGTCTGTTGGAATTGTTCGTGCTGAAAGGGGAAATTGTTGTTTTTTTTTATCATAATAATAAATAAAATAATATATAAACATTTAACTGCCAGACTGGCTTCAATTGCCCAGAAAATGCAGGTCCTCGACCAAGACTGACGCAGTGGAAAGTCTCCGTCACTCTTTCTCTCGTAGATCTATTGTCGGACAGTGGCGTGAGAGGTTCTCTCCACCGCGAGAGGTGGAATTTTAATATCAGAAGCTCCGAAGTTAGAAAAATTAAAGTACCACCATCAAAGGAGGAGGAGGCATACGGTTAGAATTCTGTTGACTTTTAGTAGAAAGTAAGTCTCTACCTCAGGTTCCTTGAAACTCTTCCTAAAGCAGACCAGGAACTTGAGTAATTAACGCACATCCAAGGTCTACAGTGAGAAACAGCTTCCCTGCAGCAGCTCTGTCGCCATTTTTATAGAAAATATAGCTTCAATAACACTTTAACCGCTGGTTGGGTCCAGTAGACTGCAATTTTCACTCCCTTCTGTGGCTACTTCAGAGGAAGAGCCCGGACCGAGCCATAAGATCTGCTTCTATATATCCAGACTCGTCACCGACATTTTCACCTTATCTGCAGAATACCATAAGCACTCGCACGACACTAACCTCCTTTTTGAATGTTCCCTAAAACCGATCTGTATAACCTCCTGCCTCTTAAGAACAAATCCATAGAAGCAACACATTTCTTTGGCCTCCCTTTAATGACCTCCATAGCATAGACTAGCTCTACCTATTCCTAAGCGTGGTTATCGAGCCTTAACAAGAACAAAATCTCACTCGTACTCGTTATCCAGTTATCTCTGGCATGTACCTGTTGTCACACCCCAACTTCTACTCACCTCTAGTTCATCATCTATATTATTTTGCATTTTAGGCAAACTACGACCGAATCGTAAACGTTGAGGTTTACGTGCCATACGCTCAAAACCATCATCATACAAATCTTCAGGATACTCATCGGCGAAATAAGCAGCCGCCTCTTCGGCATCAGTGACGCCATCATTATTTAGTGCCAAATCATTCATTAAATTATCCAGTTCGCTGTGCATAGGCATATTGGGATCACTGCGGCGGCCAAAACGTAAACGTAATGATGGTGAACGTATTGGCTTTTGATTCACATCGCCAAACCAACGTTTCTGGGCAGACAAAACCATTGTCGGATCACTGCGACGACCAAAGCGAAGCCGCAGTGAAGGTGAACGCTGAGCTTTGCGTTCGACCTGATGATTGGGAAAGACGACAGGGCCGGCATATTCGCGTTGGAGAATGCTATTGTACAGGTTGGTGAGCGCGTCTAAAGAGAAGAGAAAGATAATGCATAAACGTTTTTACATAGTTGGAATATTTTGGAGTGAACAAAAATATTGCGTATACGCACTGTTGTTCGGCATATCAGCACCACTTTCCTGCCACAGCAAGATGCTGAAACACACAAAAGCCAAAGAGCTTAATAATCGATTTGAGATAAACATTTTTACTGCTATTCGGGGTAGCTGTTTCCGCTGTTGTTTAGTTTTTAGGGGAACTTTATATATCGCTCGGCAAATACGGCCTAAATTAGCTGCAAGTAAAGAAAGAAAAGTGGAAAGTCAATTTAAAAAGTATTCAAATAATTTTAAGAGTAAAGTTTCAATATAATATTTTAACTATGAAGCATGGAGGACACATATATGTTTATATTGTATTGAAAGTGGCGAAAAGTAGACACTTAAGCGCTCATTCTTATTGAGTGAGTAAGATTAGGTTTATTAGAATTAGTCTATCCGCTTTGCCAGTCTCACTTAGCTGATACCTCGTCCGTAATATTAGCAGTTACACTACCACGTACGAGCAGTACAGAGTATTCCCTACAGGTCAGGGGCTCAAGAATTTACCCGTGGTACGGCATGCCTGTCGTATGAGGCGACTAAAATCTAATAGTTCCCGCTACAGTCGGGTCTTTATACCGGAACGACCCGGATTTTTAACCGGCCAAGGACTGTCACTGCCGCAACATTCCCCAAAAAGTACTTTGGGCAATAATTTTGCGGTTACAACAATAACAGCACAGAGTTGCTACGTTTTCTGTTTTGTCTCTGACTACAGCGCGTTTTTGAGCAAATTGAAATAGGCTTTCTGACACTTTATCCATTACTGATCGGTTGTCTATCTATCTCTTCCTCAGCAAGTAAGCTCAACCTCTGTAGGGCGAACGTTGGACAGTCACAATTTACGTGCCCTACAGCCTTCGCACATTCCCTGCATGTATTCCCACATTTACTGTCGTCAATCAGATCTGATTTGAAGGCATACGATGCCTGCAGATAATGCTACTTTTATGGGCCCACCAGCAGCCTGGAGTCTGACCTTTTGGTCGCTAGCAATTCGGATAATTTTTACTATTGAGCAGATCTTGGGCTTATTTCAAATCTCTGACTTGGACTTGTGAGTCCACGGATGCCTTCTTTAATTAGTTTATGGCCAGTTCAGGCAGGTAGCTCCGCTAGGCTTCTTATTGCTCTGAGTGAAGAGTAGTCCTCCTGCTCCTGCCAATGACCACTTTTGTAGCAAATTTTGGTTTCGTCAATTTCATTCCGGTAGTTTCTCTGTAAAAAATGTGTGGAAAACGAATTGTGGAAAATGCCAATGAAATAAGCGAAATTGTCGAGTATGGCCGTCATGCGAGAGCACTGTCCAGAACTTAAGCATTGCACAAAGAAGCTCGATGTATGACTGCTACATGGATCGAATTGCCATCCATCGATTCGTACCTGCTGAATCGTACTAAACTCAAATCATATCAGAAGCGGATGGTGGTGACTAATTGTGAAAAGAGGATCACTTACAGTAACGTCAAACGAAAACCTTTGTGGTCGAAGAGCAGTGAGCTGGCACAAATGGACTCCAGGCCTGAATTTACGGCCAGTTAGGTTTTGTTGTGTGCTTGATGGCATTGGCAAGGAATCATTTGCTATGAGCTCCACGCCAGCCAAACGCTTCATTCAAAACTCTACTAACAGCAATTGGAGCGTCTGAAGGAAGTAATAGTCCAAAAGTGCACAGGACGGAAATTCTGTTTTATAAGGACAATATCAGACCTCGATACATCGATAGCGACTTGACAAAAGCTCCGAGAGCTTGATTGAGAAGTTATTATGGCTGGACTTTGTACCAAGAATTACTATCTGATTTTTCTGCCGAGCTCCTTCTCCAATTTGTGGTTTTGCGTCTTGATGTTTTTCCAACCAATGGAGGGACCTACAGTTTATACCAAGCCACCTCCGAATGACTGATGGGTTTTTACGGGGCGCATTTATTTCATGTCAGAAGTACACTCCGAGGAGTGGACATTCCCTGCTGAGGGGCGACCGCAATTAGAAAATTTAACTTCACTTTTTATTTAAATTAATTTTTCATAACTTTTGGATGTTGGTGGCACCGGGATTTGAATGCGAGCCTACCGAATGTCAATACGTAATGCTAACCACTCGGCTACCGCGGCCGCCTCATGGCTAGTGAGTCAGCTGGTGAAGAATTGACATCAAGTGAAGCTTGTGAAAATCGATTGTAGCAATTTTTTGATAATAAATGGTAAATAAAGCCTGCAAAACGCCAGACCACACACTTCGTTGATAACTCGTCAGAAGCTACGGGAGCTCGGATGGGAGGTTTTATCGCATCCACCATATAGCCCGGACGTAGCGCCAAGTGATTACCTCCTGTTCCTGTCCATGGCGAATGCCCTTGGTGGTGTGAAGTTGAACTCAAAAGAGGCTTGTGAAAAGTGGCTGTCCGAATTCTTCGCAAATAAGGAGGTGGGCTTCTACGAGGAAGGTATTATAAAGTTGCTGTCTAGATGGAAACAGATCATCGAACAAAACGGCGCATATTTTAACTTAATCCGATCACTGTAACACTCTTTACAAAGCATTGAATGAAGAGCAAATAATATAGGTCTATACATTTTCTTCTTCATCTTACACTAACTTTCGTTAAATGCATGCACTTTCTTTTAGCGAGACACTTGAACATAATTTCACATGTTATATATAATATATACCCATATGTATATATATATATATATAATATATGTATATTCCAAAATTCACTTTATTGTTTTAAAATATTTATACAAGTATAAATCCATACACATGTATGCATGTGGTGTGGCATACATTTTGGCGCGTTGAAGCGCGTACTGGTACTGTATGTATATGTACATATACATATATGTATATAAATGGTGTCAACTGCGCAAACAAAACCAAAAGTGAACATAAAATTTGCATATAATTTAGTATGTGTAAACAATGAAATAAATTCGGTGAAAGCAACTGGTAAAATGCATGCATATACACACACATATATATTATAAGTGTATAGAGGAAGCCACTTTAACACACAATACATAATTTTCCATTTTATATGGAGTGCCTCTTAAATACAGCCTTGCACGACTAGTATGTTGGGGGGTGTCAAATATTTAATGGCCTCAACGCAGACTTTACCAAATGTCAAATGGATTTTTGGCGCGTCAAACTTTGTATATGTTTGTGTTCAGTATTGTTTTAAGATTTAAAATTATAATGCATATATGTTCGTAGATAGGTATGCGCGTTTGTATACTTAAGTTTACATACTTTTTATATGCATTTCATTTGTTCAATGGCGCGAAAATATTCATTTATGCTAAGTAGTTGGTGTTTGTGTATAATTATTTTAGTGTGAGAGTATTTTAAGCAAAACTTTTATGCAAATAAAAATCTTATAAAAAATATAAAAAAAATCTTCAAGTATTATAAGTACATATGGCTATGAAAAAATGACATATTCTTGCATTTAATAGATATGCATGCATAAAAACGAAGCTCATTATTGGATGAGTGCATAAGTTCGTGCCCGATGTCAAGTGCAAACTAAAATTGAAATTTTTTGAAGAAAGCGCTTTAATTAATGAATTACGTATTCATCATCATGTTCGGCAATCCACTCCCAACGTTCAACCAATTTACAAATGCCTGATTCATAGAAATCGCGCGGTTTCTCGTTGAAAAAGGTGTCAAGGTGGTTTTTGACGTCTTCCACATTTTTAAATTTTTTTCCATTCAAATTGTTCTGCAGCGATCGAAACAAATGATAATCAGAAGGTGCAATGTCGGGTGAATATGGGGGATGCGGCATGATTTCCCAATTCATCTCCTTCAGTTTGGCCAGGGTCGGTTTTGCAACATGTGGCCTGGCGTTGTCATGATGGAAAAGAACTCCTTTGCGATTGGCCAAAATCGGACGTTTTTCATCAATTGCTTTCTTCAATTCGACCAATTGCTGACAATACTTGTTGGCAGTGATCGTTTCTCCAGCTGGCAAGAGCTCAAAATAGATCACGCCTCGGATATCCCACCAAATGCACAGCAGTACCTTCATCGGATGCAATCCACCTTTCGACATCGGTTCCGCCCCTTCGTGTGCCTGTTTCCATGTTCTTTTGCGTTGAACATTGTTGTACAGGATCCATTTTTCATCACCAGTCACGAGCCGATCCAAAAAAGGTTCGTTTTTGATCCGTCGAAGCAAAGAAATTGCTGTTGACATACGGTCCACTTTGTTTTTTTCACTCAACTGATGTGGCACCCATGTATCGAGCTTCAAAGTGTACCCAACCTTTTTTAAACGACGAAACGCAGTTGATTTGTTGACGTTCAATTCACTGGCAACCTCTTCCGTCGAAATACGTGAGTTATTCGCAACTAAAGTCCTTAGAACATCGTCATCAAGCTCAGAAGGCCGTCCACTGCGAGGTTGATCTTCGAGGTTAAAATCTCCAGAACGAAATTTCGCGAACCATTTCTTTACTGTGCGGAGTGCTGGAGCACGGTCCAAATAAACTTCGCGAATATCTTTAGTTGCAGCGCCTACTGTTTTTCCTTTGCGGAATTCGTATAACATAATATGACGCATATGATCTTATTCGTTGTCCATCTTCCATGCGTCTTTTCACTAAGCAACTCAACTCAAAATGAAGTTATTTTATGCTTGATTTACAGTTCGGACTGTCACCTTTCCAACGATATATAATATGTATATAGTTCTCTCACGAGCGCCACTCTCAAACGATTCGAACGGCATCCAGCGGAATCGGGCACGAACTTATGCACTCATCCAATATACAAGTTGGTTTCTACTTAACGATTCTCACGTCCAGCACACAATCTTGCTGTACAAGTAGTCTTAGATTTTGGATACATTTATGTAACGAATCACACGCTTCAAGTCGACTTTTGGTAATCGGACGCTTCAGAAAAACTCTTAGAAAACTCTTAAACCGAATTTGTGGATGTGGTTGTACTAAAGCTTCATACTTTTCAGCTGTGACGCAAGGCTTGCACACGTTTTCAAGGACGCAAGTGTCAGTATTCCCTTAATTAATGAAATAAAAATTGTATGTGCTCAGACTTGTTTGCTTTCTTAACTTTATACTCTTCAATAACTTGAAAACTTACATACAAAACTGACACCTACAGGACAACATTATGCGTAATGCAGGTATTTTTTTATTTTTTTTTCAATACTTTTTATTCAAAT